GTTGAGAAGAGAAATATTTTGTGCAATTTAGCATATTCTACGCCTCTAATAGTCACCTTGTCTGTTGTTGGATTGCGTAGACAATACGCTTCCCCCCGCGTTTGGCTCGGCCAATTGGTGGCCTTTTCCTGTTGCGACGCCCAGCGACGACCGTGGGGTGTACAGCATCGGGGGATCCTGAGCCTTATATAGTATGGCTTTTTCGGCGGCTGTGGGGCCGCCGCCGCTTGGGGCTCCCGTGTTCGGCTGGGGGCTGCCGGACGCTCCGTCGGAGAATTAGCGTTGCGAGCAGGCCACGCTGCGTTGACAGGCGACGGTTTTGCCAAGCCGCATCTGTGCCCTCGCCTCATAGGTTTTTGGAGGGATTGGGGCTGGGCGGCTGGATCGTTTACCTGCCAGGATTCCCGTCGGGCGCCAGGGGTGGTTCCGCTCTGGCGCGTACGGAGGTCCGGGCGCTTTCGTGGGTGTGGGGGAGGTCGCCGCCCTCGGCCGGCGGAGATCCTGGACCTCCGGGACGTGTCCGTCTGGGGTGGGCCAGGCCATACAATTCGGCCTGGAGCAGCGACCTTCGGCTTTCGCCGACGGTTTGCGTTCCTGCCTCTGGAAGTGGTGTGGGGCCGCGCGCCCGCTTCGGTGGACGGCGGTCGCGGCCGGTTCGCCTTTCCCGCTGCTCCTCTTGCGGAGGGGGAGGTCTTCGGGTGAGCCGCTGTGAGATGTTAGGGCCCCCGGGCCGCTGTCGTCTCGATCTGCGGGGTGCCGGGCATGCTCGGGCTATTGCAGCGGGGAGGGGAGCGTTGCACTCTCCTCCCTGTGTTGCCCGCATGGTTAGCGCCGCAGTCCCGCGAGGACCAGTGGCGTTGCGGACGGGTCGTCCGCTTGATTGTTGTGGTGCTGGGAGTGCGCTTCGAATGCGCGCACCTTTTCCAGCACTGAGGGCGTAAGGCCGCGGCCGCGGCTCCGGCGTGGGGCTGGAAGTAGCCTGGGCGGAAGGCCCACCGGATTCCTTCCAGAAGCTTTACAGCTCCGCTTCGCGTGCCCGTGCGAAGGCGAGTACCACCTCCCAGGGGACCATTTTAGTCGGGGTTTGGGGGTTCCTCCCAATCGTTGGCGTTCATGTTGTACGCTGCGGGGGTGGAAGAGACGGAGCTCCATGTGTCTCCACACACCCTCTGCAGACGCAGTGTAGGGACTCGCCGTGGAGTGGAGCCCATATAGATGGCGGAAGGAGCAGTCGCTGCGACTTCCACCATGTTGTTTTCGTCCGATGGCCGAGGCAGCAGCGGCGGCGCAGTTAGGTGGCGGAGCTGCAGCGCAATTTGGCGCGGCACTACCGCGTCGTCCGCAGGGCCGGCGCCTCCGTTTTTATTCCGCCATGTCTTTGTTGCCAAGGTACCTGCGCCCCCTTGCTCAGGCGGCCGGGGGCATGGGCGAAAGGCGCAGGCCGGGTCTATGCGCGCTGGCGTTCGGGTCGGCCAGAGGAGCGGAGCGGCAGGGCACATCCGCACTCTCGACCGCTCGTCGCGAAGTGCCATGGACAATATCCTGGTTTATGTACTTCCCACGGCGCGACCGCGGCGCGCTTCCTTCAAGCAGCATAGACCTTCCGACGCAGCCACCGCCGGGGACACGGCCGCACCGCCGCCCGCCGTGGAAGGGGGTGGGGTTTGGAGGGGTAGGTTTCGCCGACCTTCCGGCGACGACGGACAAAGGGACCGCAGCAGGTACCTGCTTCGGTCTCTTTGTCCGTCGTCGGCAAAGAGCCCTGATGATTGACGTTCGCGCGCTTCTGCCGCGGCGTGAGCAAGCGGCCTAAGAGGGTGGCAAAGCAGGCGGTGCGTTGTCAAAGAGACGGATTTGCCCCTTCGCTGTCCCGGCGGCCGAGCAGAGAGGGGAGGGGGCGGCGCAGGCGGTTGCTAACCACGTGAGTGCGTAAACAGTCAGAATGCTTGAATATTGTTAAGTTAAGAATATAGAAAATATTAAAATGTTTGAAATTATAAGTTCCTATCTCTCCGAAACCCTGCGTGTTGGGGAGAACCCAATATCATATTTGAATTCAGGAGAAAAATACTAACAGAATCACATATTTTTCTTCTTAAGACAAAGTTTTTTGTCCCCTAGTGCTATCAGCCTTTTTTCTAATAAAATAAGTTAACATTTATTAACAATTTGATTTCCACGTTCAAATGACGTTATTTATTGAAAATTATGTTATTTCTCTTTTATTCAAGAATTATCTTCCTGTACAGGTCAAAATTAAACTGTGGCTCACTGAGATCATCGTACACTTTGGTGACTTTTCGGTAGTATTCCCATTGGAACGTCCATTACCTCTTCATTCTTCATGCTGCCTATTTGATGTTAGTATCACTGTCCCGCCTACCGTATTTTCTCTAAATGTCATATTTGCGTTGATAATGTCATTCGAGGAGTTCCGGTTCGATAATATTACAATAAATTATCACACATCCGTACCACGTGTGGGTTCGCGACTACCTACGTTCAACACGAATTGTTAAATTCAAGAAATGTCTACGGTTCTTCCCTATCATACGTCTCGTTTCGAATATAAAATCTTTTTCAAATTTCAATTAACATTTAAAAAACCTCTTTGGATTACTGGTATTCAAACTGAAAATATCGGACCCAATTCGGTATCACTCAGTTCCCTCTGATTGAAATATTTTTGACGATCCTAACACCGCGCGTCCTAATTCATGGCAGTCGTGCCGTATCAGCCGAAGTGTCTTCGTCAACTGCTGGTGACATAAAGATACTGAATACTGAAAATTTCACCTTTCTACGCTTCTCTACGCCTCCTATACACATTCTTTATGTATTATAAGGGACAGTGCTTCCCTTTTCTGATACATCCCCGAGTTTGGTTGTTTATTTATTGCCTTGGCAATCTGTACTCCTTTCTATTGTCCTTCCTGATTTTGCCCCATTCTATTGTGGCAGCGTATAGGTTTTACCCACACGGGACCTCTAGAACATAAAAAAAATTATAAAATTAATATGTTATTTATTCAGCCCAGTAGACGAAGGAATTTACTATGCCTTTGTGCATGCAATAACTTGTTCGCCCTCTCATTGCTTCCCCACCCCCAGCGCGCCAGGTTAGAAGCGAACCTTCGGCAGCCCCCGCTGTCCCCTCTTCCGGCGCCGGCGCCGCGCCTTGTGTCAACATTTTTTTCTCCTTGGGGCACCCATTCTAAGAACAAACACGCATTGATGTAGAAGCAGCCTCTTACCCATTGATGTCATTAAATTATCTGGACAACCCAGAAGCTCTGCCTGCAGTTTCCTGTCAAATAAATAAAGTGTTTAGAGAGCGCAGGGGAAATTTCCACTGAAAGTAACTCCGAATGTGAAGCTAGTATTGGACAAAATTAAGACAAGATGCAATAGATTTAGGCTACTCCCGACGCTGGTTCAAGAACAAGGGAGTAAGGTGACTTGCGTAAGAATTGGGGCAGAGGTGAGAAAACACTTCGAGCGTGACGACTAGTGAGGTCGAAACGCAGGACGCGGAGTTGCGTCCCTGTGTGCTTTATTATGTTTAAAAGTTTCGAGATGGATAGCCATACACTTTAAGTCAAATCGCGGGAAACATAATTCGCATCCGCGAGAACTTTTTATTGTGAGCGCAGCCACGCTCCGTACTTCTATTTAATCGTAATTTTATTGTCGTGAGCGCTCCACGCCATTTATTGGAAATCGTCATTACGGGCACACGCAAGCTACACAATTCACCAAGCTGTCGTAACCTGCCGCACTCGATTAATGAACAGAACTAAATGCGTAAATATCGGCATTGAGTTTGGGACTTTGAGTGAGCGCTGTGAGCGCCCGAACGCTGTGAGCGCCCGACAGGACGACAAAAGGGTCGTTGACCCCGACTCCGCTGGAGACGCCCCGGCAGACGACCTTCGAGCATCCGATTGGACCGGTCGGAAGAAGACCTGTGTAGTAGAAATATTACGAAGAAAACAGGAGAAGGGTTTCATAACGAACTCTCTCGTGATTCGTGATTCTCGTGATTAAGCTAATGAAGCTTAAAAATTCGAAAAAAATCTTTACTTTTAGAGATAATTGCTACGACATTCAAGATCGCTAATTGCAAAGCCGTTGGCTGATTGTGTTCTCTTACACTCTCAGTGTTGTGCGGGACCCATCGCTGTTGTGAGTTATGCTGACAGGAACATGATGCAGCGACAAACAGCCGGACCATTGACAGGAGGCGGTAGTCTCTACAGGTCAGGACGTCGGCCCGTCCGGACGACCCAACACTGCCACGATACCCCGGACTAGATGGTCGGACGCCGACCACCCTTTCAAGGTCAGGACGCAGGTCAGCCCTTCCGGACAACCCAACACTTCCACAAGAGCCGAGACAGTACAAGGCCGAGAGGACTCTGCTGAGCCCTATGTGAAGTTTTATGAACGCACGTACAGTACGTTCACGCCACTGCGGCCCGACCATTCCTACCCTTACGGGCATTATGGCCAATCCTGCAACATGAAGAAAAACCAAAGGGTCAAAAATGATTTAAGCCAACTGGCGCGCATATTGCTTGTGCAGAAATACTAAATTTATGTTTCAGATCTCATTTCACTGTTTCAGATTACTCTTACTTCAGGAAGTGCTTTGGTCGCCTATACTTCATCCGTTGATCGGGGTGGTATGAGGCGATCTCGGAAATGAGAGAGTTTTCCGAGTCAGCTGCATTTTCAAAGAACGTAGACACAATATTTTTGATATTATCAATCAGCAGTGGCACTAATAAATCGCGATATAAATCCTTAATAGGAATGGCCCTGAGGCATTCGTTTTGCATACTTGTAGTTTTATCAAATGTGTACATGCTGCAATTGCCCAACTGGGGCATACGTAGTCCAGCTGCGGCCTAATAATTGCTTTATAAAGTGGGAGGCAGTTTGCCGTTGACAGTTTGCTCCGCTTGTGAAACAGGCTTCGCAATCTGACTCCGGTCAGCCGCAGTATCTTCCGCACGTTTTCAATGTGCAGATTAAAAGTAAGTGGGCTATCTAAAGTACACTTAAATATTTTACATGTTTTGCCCAATTAATCGCGTCTCCGCTGCTTCGGCTGTGTGAATAGCCATCTTCACGTGAGAAGTGCCGCTGCTCTCTTACTCACATTTGAACCGCTACCGCTTCAGGCATTCCTGGATCTGCAGAAAATTCTGATCCAAGTACTTCTGAAGAAGTTTCATATTTTTCGACGTGGCTATTGCAGCCGTATCGTCGGCGTACAAGGTGAGTCCCGTTTGAGGGTGCGTGGGAATATACAGAGGCTGAAGTGTAAGAGCTCCCTTCCGGCACTCCGGCCCGTATAGCGCGGCGGGTAGATTTAGCATTCAGAAGCGTCACTTGGAAATTCTATTTGCTAGGTAAGAGTGGATAAGGTACACAAGGTACAAAGGAAAGTTCATGGTTTGCAGTTTGTAAAGGAGACCGACGTGTCAAATATCGTCAAATACTCTGGAAACATGGAGGAGCACTCCACCTGTAAATCAGCCCTCGGAGTTGCGTCTTATGCGGTCCATGATTGGCACAAACTGATACATTGTGCTATGACTAGCGCGAAAGCCAAACTGCTCTTTATTTATAAGTGAATTATCTGAAACAAATTTAAGAATTATGTTTTGAATAAGTTTTTCACATAGATTTCCGAGCGTGTTTAGTAGGCTAATGGGCCTGTACGTCTCGCACAATTGCGGGCTTTTCCCCTGCTTATGGAGTTAACACATGCGCATGTTTCCACTGACTTGGAAAGTGCTGAAACATAAACAAACCAACTAAAACACTACGTCTTGCTGAGTCAGCTTTTTAAGGATGCTGTTGGGCCCGGGAGCTTTTTTTAGTTTGTATCTATTTATTTATATTATTTATTTATTTACGTCAAAATGGTTAAAAACTGTCTGAAGTGCTATGGGAAGAAGTTAATTTGAAGTTACATTTATGTCCAGGAGTAAAACAAGGGGCCATCTCAGCATTTGCTCAATGATAAGGGAAACTGGACGAAAACCTGATCCTTGTCATAAATCCAGAGGCTGAAGTACAATACTTCTTACAGGTTCTTTAGAATTATACAATCCAAATGGTAAATAGCCCATTAAATGTCATTGTTAAAATCAATATTACTTTTGTTTTGGATGCTCTGTATAGTCTCTAATTATATAAAATATATAACTGTATATAAACATATATAGCTCCGTAATGGCCGCTTTGACTTCTGTTTCTGTAGTGAAACTGTGCTCGTTGGCGGGCGCGTGCATTGCCGCCATTACCGTTTGCTATACTTCGATAACGTGCAGTATTGGCGACGCCTCCTCGGCCAGCTGAAACTGAGATTCTAAAACATTAGCTAGGAGTTCCACTTTGATCTCGTTAGATTCTGCAAACTCTCCTGTGCTTGTCTGAAGTGTCAGCGCTGTTATTGAAGTCCTAGAAATCATGCGGGAGGTTTTCCACTGTGAATTATCTTCAGGTTTGAGACCTGGTAACAATTTATTCAATTTGTTATTGCGGTATTCACCTAGTTCGATTTCCACTTTACGTTTCAATCGATTGAGCTCCCGCTTATCAGCTGGGTGTCTTGTGCTCTGCCACACTGCGCGCTCTGTTTTTCCTGTAAATTAAATTGATTAAAAAAGGGGTCATTGGCTGCTCCTCCTTAGAGGAACTTTGTTTCTCAGCTGCTACGTTGAGGCTGGCGACACCTTGGACGAATTTTTCAGCTCCAGCTTCTATCTGCTGCGGGCCTGAACTCCGGGATGCACTGCTGCAGCTGCGTCTGAAATTGTTTCCAATCTGTGTGCCGCTTCTGTGTCGTGTGTGCAGTTGACAGTGACAAGCCGCCGCGTCTCATATCCGCTAGAACTGGAAAGTGATCAGAGGAAATCCCATAATTGATTATGAGTGTAGGAGAATAATGTTTTGTTTTTTTGGCAATGCGCAATCTCTAAAACATTGGCCTTACCGTTAGTTTTATAAGGGTAATTGTTATGTCCCCCAAATAAACGTCAAGTTAAAAAAGCAAAACGATTTATTCAACTTGACTTTCTGCAACAAAAGAAACCTTTCGGAATTACATGTCATTGTTAAGCGAGCTTCTGCTACTCTGTTGATTCTTCTGTCCTGACGTTGCGCCTGCACTGCTTTGACGAGCTGCGCGGACACTTTGCTCGCTGCTCCCGAACACGAGTCTTAGGGCCGAATTCATAGTCGTCACTTAAATTAAATGTTCCCTTAAGGGGACGAATCGTATTCATAAACAGCCCTTGAGTAAAGTCTTAAGTGAGCACTCATTCCTATAAGCGAGGCTGCCTGCTCCCTTAGGTGTCCCTTATGGCTCCCTCGCATCGTCATTCGTAACCAGTTTAGGTTATACTTGTCGGCAGAACATCGTGTTCGACAGAATTGAATGCTTTGCTAAAGTCGAGAAGGGCGAGAATCGTGATTTTATCGTTGTCCATTGTATCTTCGGCGTCTACAATCACATTGAGGAGCGCAGTTCCAGTGCTTTTACCGGATCTAAAGCCCGACTGGTTTTTATTAAAATACTGACATTTTGAAGGTGATTTTCTATCGGTTTCTCACGATATTCTCTAGAACTTGTGATGTTATTGACAACATACTGATGGGATGGTAATCAACAGGCGTCGTAGAATTAGCGCTTTTAGGGAAAGGATGGTCAAGTGCTGTCTTCCAGGCCGACTGAAATTCGCCGCTCATTAATGAAAAATTAACCATGTCCACTATTGCCGTGACTGCTACTTCATCTCCATAGTCCTTCAGTCCATAAGCAGAGAGTAATGAACTAGTAACCCATAAAAAAATTGTGAATGAATTCGAGATCTGGAGGTTGTACAAAACTGCAACCTAGCCAGAGAGTCTCTGAGATGTGAATATCAAAGGTGCTGCGATGACTAAAATATTTGAGAGACAATTTGTAACATGCGGTGAGGAATTTTCCACCATCTCTTGACAACCCGTTACCATTTATTCTACGACTTGACGAAATGACAAATATGGGATCATATCTGGAGATATGCATTAGATAATTGCTCCCCAGGTCGACAAAAATGTGTCACGTTTTTTAAATGGCGCATAATTAGTTATTTTTTAAGCGAGGAAATGGCCGTCAACTATTATCCTCGTTCAGCAATAACCCGTTCTTCTTACTTTGCTTAGTGCGATCTTTATTTATTGTCTCAATATAACTTAATTGGTTCAAGGCACACGCCGGAAAATGCTGAGGAGTACAGAATGTGCTGTACGGGATCTTATATTTCATCAAATAATAACATTGTAATAATAATTTTGCATTGCTGACGAGTGAAGAAATAATTATGATACCCCTCTGTGTGCCACTATCAAATAAAAATATTATTTCATAAACATATTTTTGTGAGGTTCTACTGAAGTGCACATCGTTGATTTCACTAATAATACACACACCAAAAGGCTCTATGTTCTGCGTGTCGAGCACCCAAAACCGGATCTTACGTGTTCACTACAACAGGCATGTTTTGTCACCTTGATCTTAGTCTATTGAAATTGAAGCTAATGGTTTAAGCATATCTCACTTCATAGGCGCCAATTCGTGACAGTAACCGTCACTCATTTATGAGTGTGAAATATTAATTCACGCTCTGAACTCGTGACAGGGCGAAGCGCCATGGTTTATAAGCGCGTCGCAAAAACATCTAGTTGCCAGTTAGGGTACTGTATGCATTTGCATCGCCATTGCTATCCATTTGCTAGTATCATCTTTTGAGAACTCCTTTCCGTACAGTCATTTCAGTTCACCGAATCTTGCGAAAGAGCATCGCAAGAGCAACTTGCCTCTTTCTTTTCTCTAAGCGCCAAAGAGGAAGAAACAGGTAGGGGTGTTTATTTTTAAAATTTTATTTAATTAATAAGTATTAAATTTGTCTAGTTTTGTCTATTCCTTATTTAGTTCTATACAACATTGAGTCATGCATAATTAACTCCATTTTGTCTGACACATGTTTCTAAATCGTGAAATCGTAGTATGTTAAATTCCCCGAAATAAGAAATCATACGTGAAATTGACTTTATTATTTATGATCGTAAAAATAATCTACTTCTTTAATGTTAGAAAGAATGCCTTATGAATTCTTCCCTAAAACTAGTAGAATGTGGCGTCGCCGAAGCTGTAAACCGTTTTAAATGCATTTTCATGTGTTACAAATTTATTTCATACTTAAGTTCTTTTATGACTAGCTTTGATGGACTTCCCAATGAATCGTAGTCGCTGTTGATGTTATACTCCTGTTCAAATTCCTAACACCCTATGACCTTGTATGTTACATCAATACGGGATATTAACGGGTAATATTGCAATTTCAAAATTATAATCTCCGTGAAAAATATTTACCAGTTGTGAATGATGCGAATAGTTAGAATTTAGTACAGCTACAATTTTTACACTTTTCTGCTAAAATGTACAAAAACGCACATAAAAGGTCACCTCTAAGCTGTTCTTCAGTGTTATTTTCTGATAAGATCATTCCCAATTCGTTCCGAAAATTCTCTCACAAAATCTTGTACATTTGATTCTTCTCCGAATTTGCTTAACACTTCCATATTTTCGTACCCTAAAAGTTTAAAACTACACAAATACAGACTAATTTCACTTCCACTTTTGCAATTGCTATATTTATCGTTTTCTATGCGAATGTATGTGTGTGTGTATATATATATATATAACAAAGTAACATTAAAATGTGACTGTTTTGTACGTTTTTGTGAATAACGTGTTAGTTAAGTTTAATGATAATAACGTTTTAGTCAACTTTTTTTTGAAAATCTTCATTTGCACACTTAAGAACGTAAATGAGAGAAGTTGAACGTAAGAACGTTCATTCATTCTCTAGCATTACTCACAGTTTTGTTTCCTCCATATTCAGTTCAAGTTAATCAAATGTAATAAGTTCCAATTCAATACTGTTTGTAGGGTTTTACAAATTTATCATTACCAAATATGGCCAAAATATGTTGCCATCCTCGCGAAAGAAAATTATGGTGTCGTGGAGGGATTATGCCTCATGGTTCTGGGGTTTAATCAACAGCACCTAATACATCTAATAAGGTGGCGTTGGTTTAATTCCTGACATACTAAGTTCGCAGCGCCAAAGCACCTTTTTGAACACATCTTTGAATCTTCTGCCCGGATTCGAAAACATTATCAGTTCCCCATTAGGAGATTAGGAGACAAGTCGAATGACACCTCACATGTCTTGATTGATGAAAGGGAAGTGGTCTAGCCGTGTGTGACGGATCCACTCACACACACACGCGCGCGCGCACACAGTTACACAAATACTTTAGAGGAATTTATTCTACATAATTAGTAATTAGTAAGTTTTTTAAACATTCCTGACGAATGTTAGCAAAAACACAGCTAGGTAGGATAATCCAAATTGATGGATAAAACGAGTGTGAAAGAAAGGGACGGCTTTCATCGCAAATAAAATTTAATTTAAAAAATCATAAATATATCACCTAGAATTCATCGAAATTTCAATGTTTTATTTATCTTTTCAAAATACTATTTATTAGTAAAATGTGGCTTCGCCAACGCTTTAAACTGTTTTTAAAATAGTTGCATGTATTGAAAATTTATTTTATGCCTAGCTTTGTTCAAATATGTTCTTTCAGTATCAGACGTTGGACTTACCAATGAATCGTAATGCCTGATAATGGTATACTCCGGTTCAAAAGTTCTCAACACCCAATGACATTGTGTGTTACCTCTATACGGGATATGAACTAGTCTTATTGCAATTTCTAAATTATAATCTCCGTAGCAATGCTTGCAGGTTATGATGCTAATAGTTGAATTTTAGTACAGCTACATTTTTACGTTTTTTGCTAGTATGCACATAGATCATTTGCATTAGCACGAATGCTAAATGAAAAAATGCAGATCATTCCCAGTTAGTTTCGAAAATTCTGTTGCAACATCTTTTACAAATACATTAGATTATTCTCCGGAACTCCTTAACACTTCCATATTTTTCTCTTCTAATTTTTGAAGGGATTAAAAATTCACAAAAACTTCAGTCTAATTTTTTGTGTTCACGTCTACTTCTGCAATTGCTCTATTAATACTTTTGTATGCGAATCTAACATTAAAAGGCGACTATTTTGTATGTTTATGTGAATGAGGTGTTAAGTTTAATAAACAGAAGTTATGGGTCACATTCATTTGGAAATCGGTATTTGCACGCTTACGTAAGAATGGAAAAGTGTGAAGTCGAACAAAAGAACGTTCATTCATTCTGCAGCATTACTCACAGTTTTGTTTTCTCGTAATCACTTGAAATTTTTCAAGTTTAATACGTTCGGAGGCAATCTGTTGGTAGGTTTTCGCAAATTTATTTTTAACTAGTGGTGGTACAGAATGGCACAGACTTTCCAGTATTAGTTTTCATTTTCCTTTGGTCTCAGCTTGCCATTCGAACCTACCACTCACTCTTGCTAGCTGCCATCTATCATCGCCTAAATACAGTGTTTGAAAATTTCTTAATTTTTGTTTCGTAATAATAGAACGGAAATATTATTTTATTTATTAAAGAACAGTAAAAGCTCGCCCAAAATTGCAATTTGCTTTCAAAAAATTGCAGCCGCTTTTAAGAAAATGTAGTAGTGTAGCTAGTGTAAATTCGTAATTGGATCTCTTTTTCGCAGAAAACATTTGAAGTATCGAAAAACTTCATTTGAAGTCATTTTAAGTATTTAAATCACTAATGCAATACTGTTTACAAATGGTCGGAAATGTGCATACTAACGGGTTGAGTGATCTCTCAAAAAAATTACATTTGTGAAAAGAAAAAAAAATACCTCAAAACTAACTTTACGGCATATTAAGGAGTGCAATTAGGACTAACCGTTGGAAAAGTTTGAAGAAAAAATTTGGACCTGTTTTAGAGAAAATGACGTTTGAGTGTTTCTGAAAATGCGGAATTTTGGGCTAGTTTTCGCAGAAAACGGTTCAATTTTCGTGAAACCTTATGACATTATTTAAAGCACATGCACTCAAAAATACATTAATGTATACAAATTGTCGTATAAACGACATAAGAGAAAAGTCACATATCTTTTTTTTAAAATTGCACATATTGCACGCAATAATTTTCAAACTTTTCAAAAAAAGTATAAATGACCTTAATGACCTCAATATGGATAACAAATTTTGTTTGAAGAAAAAGTCTTAATTTTTAATTTTATAGTTTGAAATTTTCAAAACTTGTCTTTATCTGAAAATCGGTACTATGCCACTTTTATGTGTATTTGGCTCTATTTTTACAAGAAATTCAAAGACAAAAATTGATACAGTGTTCAAGATAATTTTGAAAACTTCCGTGAGCCCTCAATAAAGTACCCTCATATTTTAAAGAATATTTTTCAAAATCTCATTGCTACAACTCTAGCCAGGCGTTTCTCGAGCAACAGGGGTTTCTTCAATAGGGAAAAAATACCCATGGTTTAGGCGCTACACTGAAAAGAAAGGAATGGTTGCCGCACATTGAAATACGGTTCTCTCTACCAGAATCAGTAGTAAAATTTGACCCAGCTATTTTTGTGGTTGAACCTTAGGCGCCATGTGTGTGCGTCCGAGGGGCTCTAAAACACCCCTGTTTCTGGTGGGCCCTTTGTCTACGTAGTACCCTGAACCACAAAATGTTTGCTATTCATGGTTGACCTTCGCGGAACTTCGGCAAGTGGTTCCACGACCCACATTTTTTCGTTACAGTTACTACAAAAACTATTTATACCAACAATGGAATT